GGCCTGCTCTCCCAGGGCAGGGCTTGCCCAGCTGGCCTTGTGTCTGCCTGGGGCAGAGTCTGGCTGGGGTCTGGCTGGGGCAATACTCAGATGTGTGATATTAATGAGCGACTGATCAGTGAATGAATAAGCAGGATCTATCTCCCCTCTCAGACTGGGATGTTTTATGCATCCTCTGTTCCCACCCCTCAATCCGAGCCTGAAAGTCCTATAACCAAAGCCAGCAGCTACCCCCTCCTCTAATAGCCCTCTTTTTCCCACCTGGCCCTCTCTGGGCAAGTCCCCTGCCACTTCCGATAGCTCACCCACCTGCTGCTCAGACATTAATGCACTTCAGGGGTCAGAGGAGCCCAACGATCACGCTGTTAATAGGGCAAGCAGTTCCAATTTCATGCCTACATGAGTTTCCCTCTATTAAGGCAAGGAGAGGGAAAAAAATCTGTTTTTTTTTTTTTTAATTTCTTCAAGAAAACACATAAAAGCATTGAGTAACAGAGGCTTATGTAGAATCTCTGGCTGGCAGCAGAGGGGGCAGGTGGATCATGTGAGATGGAGCAGGGCATTGGGGAAGAAGGAAGTAGTTTGAGGAGGCTGGTGGTGCCATGTGTTTGTTGCCTGCTGATACAGCCTGAATGTTTATAAACTGACGAATATTTGAGAGCTTTCAGCAATTGAAAGTCATCTACTTCAGTTTTGCTATCAACTGGCAAAAGTGGACAGGGAAATATTTACTGAATGAATGAATCATGTATCTTGAATGTATTTAAAAGAGCATGAGGAGGTGATTTGGGGATTAAGTGAGGGTATCTAGAACATCAAATTCAGAAATGCAGGGCTGCTGTCAATTGCAGACTGACTCTAATTCCCTGCATCTATAACACTGTCACCATGAGTGACTTTTCAGGTCCTCCCATCAAACAGGGGATCTTTTTCCCCACCCTTTCAATATGGGCTGGCAGAAGCAGTGACAGCATCTGAGATCCCCCAGCTGTGAGACGCCTGTGCACTTCAGCTCTGTCCTGCTCCTTTGCCAGGCTGTTCTTCTCCTGGCGTGTGAGACACCATGAGGCATCCCAGCCAGGGCCACCAGGCCAGCAGGCCCCAGCCACCTGCCGCCCCCACCAACTCTGAGGACTAAACCCAGCCTAGATCAGCCAACCTGATCCCATGAGCAGCTGTCCACAACCCAAGGAGACATCAAAGCAGCTGTTGCTATAAGCCACTGTGCGTTGGAGATGTTTGTCATACAGCATCATTGCTGGTGGGTGGCTCGTACAGGAGCCATGAGGCGGTGTGCTCTGCAGACATGACTGCACTCCTTGACCCTGGTGAGTGGCTGATGAGTGATATCTGTAGAGGGAGCGATGCACTTCTGGAAGCACTGATACAATTACTCACTTTCCTCCAAATAAATGCTCAGCTCTCACATCTCTGAGCTCCTGCTCTTCAACCTGTCTAGAATATTCTCCTCCTTTCTTTGCTGGCCAACCTCTATCTTTCCTTCAGAGCTTTGCTAATTGCCTCTTCTCTTTGGTCACCTCTGACCACCCCTTCCATCCCTGCAAAGCAAATCTCTCCACCCCAGTGTTCCTGAGTCCCCGGGGGCACCTGTGCACATTTCTCTCCGAAGTGAGATTTCTGCTGGTTAGCAGGGCACACATTCTCCCTCCCTCACTGTCCTGTGAGCTCCCTGAGGACAGAGTCTTGTTCAGGTCTATAGCCTGGATCCAGCACAGGGCCTGGCCAGAGAGGCCTTTGGGAGGTGGTAACTCATTTATTCATTTGTTCACTCATTCATTCATTCTACAGTTAGGGAAACTGTACTCATGCCAGACTCTGGCCTAAGTCCTGCGGCTATACCAAGAGCAGTGCAGATGCATCCCTGTGCTCATGGCACCAAAGTTCTAGCCAGGGATAGGGAGACTGTCAGAAAATAAATAAGCCCCACCCCCCCCAAAGAGCTGGAGGAAGGACAGTTGAGTGTGAATGAAGCCAGGGGACAGAGTGTGTGAAAATGAGACAGGGTCAAAGGGCAAACATGGCAGAGTCTGTAGGATTTGGGGATTTTTGAGATGGTGTCTTCCTGTGTTGCCCAGGCTGTCCTCGAACTCCTGGCTCAAGCAATCCTCCTGCTTCAGCCTCCTGAGCAGCTGGGACTATTATTGCACAGCAGAGCCTGGCTTCTGTGTGATTTGTAAAGGGTTTGGATTTACTTCCTGTGTATTCAGAGCTGAGTAGGAGGACACCATGGAATGACTTGTGTTTTTTAAACTTTTTTTGGAACCAGGCCCTGTGCATTGCCAGGCTTGTGCTGTACCTCTGAGCCACATCCCCTAGCCCCATGGCTTATGTTTGAAGGGATCACTTGGTTATGGTGGGAGACTGAGCTGTGGGGCATCAGGAATCCTGACGACCAGATAGGAGACGGAAGCTCTTGTCCGGACAACAGGAGGCTCTGTCCAGGGTGTGGCAGTGGGGAAGAGAATTGGGTTGGTTCAGGACACCTTTTGAGAGGAAAACAAACCAGCTATAGGTTACATGTGGGAAGGCAAGAAGACAAGAGAAACATAAGACAGCAGAGAAGTGCAGGACATGAGTGACAGGGTTGATGGTGGCACTTCTTCTGGAGGAGAGGACGGCTGAGGAAGGGACATGCGGTGGAGGGGAACCCAGAGTTGGGTTTTGGAAATGTTCATGAGATATCCAATGGGGAGGGGAACCCAGCAGGAAGTTGGAGCTGAGTGTGGAATTGCAGGGAAAGGTTAGTCAAAACTTTGGGAGGCAGGTGGAAATGGGGTGAATTGGGCATTCAGGTCCTGACTTGGCCAGAGCCGAAAGGGCTGCACTGGTCATGAGGCGGGGAGCTGCTGCACGGTTCCTTGCACGGTACATCTGGGCCTGGAGTTTATGTAGGGCTGGTCCCCGGGTTCCTAGGATGTCTGCATGGAAGAGGCACAGAGAGGTCAGTAACTTTGTGTCTCTTCTGGTTGAGAAGGGAGTAGAAGGCCAAGGCTCTGATTTAGCAGAGGCCGGTGAAGGTCGTTCATAGGATGCAACCTCCCTACCTCCTTCCTTTGGCCACTCCGGAGCGGGCAGAGAACTGACCATTGAACAGGCTTCAGCGTCTCTATGGCAGGCACAAAGTTCTGGGTTCACTATCCATTTCTTCTTCCAGGGCACAAAGGAAGACTGCATCTCCCAGCCTCCCTTGCAGCTACAATAGGCCACATGACCACTCCTGGCCAGTGGGCTGTGAGCAAAGGTAATCCATGTCTGAGTCTCTTTAGTCACATCCTATGATGTGAGTTTCCCAATTGCTGTTATAATAATTGGCCGCAGACTTAGTCACTTAAAACAAAAAACAACCAATTTACTCTCCTAGAGTTCTGGAGTCAGAAGTCTGAAATGAATTCTAGTGCTAAGGTTTGGCAGGGCTAGAGGCCCTGGTGAGAGAACTTGTTTCCTTGCTTTGACAGTTTAATAGGTTGACTGCATTCCTTGGCTGGTGGCCCCTTTTTTGTATCACTCTCATCCTTGTTTCTGTTGTTACATCTTCTACTGCCTGTAACCTAGCCCTCCTTTTTGAAGGACCTTGTGGTGACTTTGGGTGGCCCTGGATCATGCAGGATTATATTTATAACTCAAGATCTTTAACTTGATCACATAAGCAAAGTCCCTTTTGCCATGGAAGGTAATGCATTCTCAGGTTCTAGGGATCAAGACATGAGCACCTTTAGGGGTCATTATTCTCCTGGCCACAGTGGTCCCCTAGCCCTCTTCCCCTGCCCTGGACATCCCAGAGGCCATGTGTGCCAGTGTAACAGTCATAAGATGGAAGAGGATGGCTTGTCCTACCTGGGTCATTGTGTCACTGCATCACACCCTCCTGTCCTGAAGAACCCAATCTTCCATTGTCTCTTGGTGACTCGGAGGTCTTGACTATAGCTCAGAGAGGCCAATTCTATCCCTCCCCACGGACTCTCAGTCCTTCCCTCTGACCTAATAGATGAATGGCACAGGGAATTTTTACTGGTTGAGTAGAATGTTCTGGGAAACCTCTCCCACTAACTGATGTCACCTTGACTGGTGTTGACCCTGGCAGTAGGACAAGTTTCTGCTGAATGCATGTTCACAGACATGATCCAGGAAGGGCCTCATAGGCTCTTGCTTGCTTTGGGTTTCTTCTTCAGCTACCACACTATAGTTTGAATATTGAATGTCCCCCAAAGGCCCATGTGTTAATGTCTTGGTCCCTGGGGTTGCTATTAGGAGGTGGTGGAACCTTTAGGAGGTGGGGCCTCGTGGGAAGTCCTTAGGCCATTTTGGGTGTGCTCTCAAAGGGAGCTGTGGCACCCTGGTCCCTTCCCCTTCCTCTCTATTTGCTTCCTGGCTGTGATGTGAGCAGCTTCACTCACCACTGGATCATGGAACATTCAGAATAATGAGCCAAACTGAACCTTTTCTCTTAATAAGTTAATTATTCCAGGTATTTTGTTACCGTGATGGAAAACTGATACACACCATAAGATGATCAAATGTGAGGTATCTATTGCCTCTTTAGTTCAGTCTCCACAGCAAACACCATGGAGGAGACTAGAGCCCAGCCCCCAGCCTGGAATCCAGCCAGGTGACCTGTCTCCTGCAGCAGAGCTGCCCACTGAACCCACACTGGGTCAATGGACTGCTTCATCCTGCACTTAATTGCACGCTTGCTGCCGTATGCCACTGAGATTTGGGTTGCTCTGTTATGCAGTATTATTGCAGCAATGGCTGACAGTTATATTAATCCCTGAGCAACTGTGGGCCCCTAAGAATCTCCGGCCACCTCCTGCACCACCATTAGGATTTGAGTAAGACAGGCGCTGCATGTCCATCCATCACCTGTGAGACTCAGGCCTTCCGGCTCCTTTGTCATCCTCACTCTGTGCCCATCCAACACTGGACACCAGCAGGTGCCAGTCATTGCTACTGAGCAAAGAACACAGAGCCATGCACCGAGGTGGGGAAAATCGGTCTATTTGTTTTAATTAAACCAACTGAAGAAGCCAAGACACAGACAGAAAGAGACTAAGAACACGACTGGAAATGGTTTAGAAAAGAAATGAAAACCAATTGCCAAGGTCAGGGCTGTGGTGGGCGGCAGCGCCTTCACGTAAGCTCCAACACCACTGTCAGGGCGAGCACCAGGGAGAGCCGGACGCCAGCAGGGCCAGACGAGGAACCTGTGCCAGGCGCAGAGCAGTGTCAGAGCCCACAGCCTGGCACGGGCAGCGTGGTGGGCACAGTGGTACACAGCCTGGGGACAGTGGAGCTTCAAAGGTCCCCACAAAGACGCTGGACTTTAGCATCAGGTGGAGTGAGTTCTGACCCCAGCTCTGCCACCTGCCTCACCAAGGGTCTGTGACCCCATCCCTGCCCAGGCCTGCGGGACTGAGGTCAGACCTCCTGGTGGCCATCAGGATTGTCAGCAGGGGTGGGAGCTTCCGTGGTGAACCGTGAGGTCAGCTAGTGGATGTGGGGGGCACAGGGGACCTGGGAACAAGCACCTGGGCCCTGGGCGGTGAGGCTCACCTTGGGGTGGGGGTGGGGGGCAGCCCAGGGAAGGTAGTATAAAAGGCCCAGCTGTGGCATCTGTCTCTGTTCCCAACTGTCCTGTGGAGCACTTCGGGACCCCAGAGACAACTCTGGACACTGTTGGACACGGCCCCTTGGGGCCATGGCAGCTGGGGCTCTGTGCCGAGAGCTGTCGATGACATGGGTCGTAAGATGGGGGAACATTTAACTCCCTACATCCCAGCAGACTGCTTTGGGATGCTGGGTCTCCCTTTTCTGCTTTACACAGGCCTGACCCCAACTCTGCCTGGCTGAAGGGCAGTGGGCTGCCTGGGGGAGGCGGGCGGGACCAAGGCAGGCAGATGGGCAGTTGAGGGGACCAGAGCACCTAGAATCTTGAAAGTCACTCAATGTTAAGGGAGAAATCTGCAGGTGGACACTTACCATTGGAGTCCTCCGTGCCTCTGGGAATATTTGGGTTTTCTGTTGGGAAGAAACAAAAACAAAACCAGAGCGTGAGCAGCCCTTTATCAAACACCCACTGTGTGGTGTCTCACAGCAGCCTCTCCATGGGCTGGGGTGGCTGCCTGCTTTGCAGAAGGAGAAACTGAGGGAGGTGAGACAGTCGCTAATGTGGCTGAGCTGGGATTTAAACCTGAGTTTCTCTGACTCCAAAGCAGCTGTCGTTCTAACCACTGAACCACACCGCCACCCCATGGGGTGCCCTCTCAGAGCACACTTAGGGGACTTGGGCCCTTGCTGCCCCTTCCTCCGGGATAGATAGCTCTGAGCCGGGCCCAACCCTGGGTAGTTCTGTGGGTCCCCAGCCGAGCCTGGCATACCAAACACGATGAGCCGGGTGTGCGTGTCGGTGGAGCCCAGAGGGTTCTGGGCTGTGCAACGGTACATGGAGCCGTTGAGCTCGGCAGGAACTCGCTCCAGCACCAGTTCCTTCCCGTCGAACTCAGCGCTGCCGTCCAGGAGGCGGCTCCCCACCCTCGTCCACGTGAACATGGGCTCTGGGAAGACCTCGTTCTGTTGGCAGAGCAGGGAAGAGCATGGTCACTGGGGAGCCATTCCTCCAGAGAGGAAGGGCCATTGGCAGGCCTGGCCTGACGGTCACATCTGAAGGTCTGGGAGAGGTGCCTGAATCCCGATCCTCGAGCTGTGTCCACCCTTCCCCCGTCATTACAGATGGAGTTCTGCTGGCACCAGGCGAGGGCATAGGGTGCCTCTGGGGAGTCTGGTGCCCTTGCGGTGTCCTTCCACCCACCACCCCTTTCCCAGATGCCCAGAGAAAGATTAACCTGAAATCCATGGACCAGAATCCTCACTGTGTCCCCAACGCGGGCTCTGCTGGGCGTCATAACAATTTTGGGTCCTTTGGGGGCAACTGTAGCAAAAGGAAGGTCAGGTCAGAGGTGTGTGTGGGTGTGTGTATGTGTGTTGGGGGCTGGCTAGCAAGGAAAGGAGGGTTAGGGCCCATGGAAGAGAAAATTCCAGTCTAATGGTCAGCATCTTTGGGATGGGTTCTGCAGCTTCTCACTTAGGAACTCAGTGAGTTCATTGATTGACTGATTGATTCATTCATTTGCATCTGCATTCATTCGCACACATCCCTGAGCCACTGCAGTGAGTCAGGTTCTGGCTGGAACTGGTGCATGATCCTTGTACTTGTGGGCTTCACACATCAGTGGAGGAGAAAGGCAAGTCATGGTTGCTAGTGTGACACATGACAAGATCAAAGAAAATGGGGGATGGTAGAGTCAGGAGGGCAACTTGCAGAGGGAGAGGGGGGACGTTAACTGAGGGGTAACTCAGTGCTAATGGGAGGTGACCATCCAGCAGCCAGATCAGCCAAGATATCCAAAATGCCCTCTGCACTAAACCCTTGTGAAGCGACTTCTGTTACCATCGTCCTTATTGCCCAGTTGAGTTGAGACCAGAATGACAAAGTGGTTTGTCAAGGTCACATAAGTGAGGAAGAATTGGTACCAAAACTCCAGTCTCCTGACTCCTGATCCAGGTTCCTACCAGGCGGATCTTCCCACGGGAGATCTTCTGCAATCTCTGGGAGGGGGTGGACAGCTTGGGGGAGACCATGCTATTTTCTGGGCCAGCCTTTGTCCTCCCTGCTCACCGCTCACTCCTCATATCCTGTCATGCTTGGGGGAGACAAGATACCCAAGGGGTTGCTCTCCTGAGAGAAGAAGCTGTGGATACCAGGCATGGAAAAGCCACTGGTGTCCCAGGGCTAGAGAAGAGGCTTGTCCCAGGTCCCCAGCAGAGTCAATTACAGGTTCCCTTTCTTCCCCAGGATTACTCCATTTGTCCATCCATCCATTCATTCACCATCCAACAGTAACTATCAAGTAATTACTAATATGTTGGGCTTTGGAGCAGGGCCAGGGACACAATGGCAAAGAGGCCAAATGATGGCTTACACTTTAGGAGGGGACACATTCAATCAGCAAGCCAACATAATCAATTTGGGACCAGAGAGACAGTACTGTGCGCAGTTAGTGGGTGGTGTCCTTAGATGCAGTGGTCAGAGTGTCCAGGCAGAGAGAATAGCCAGGGTGTGGCGCTGAGGCGGCCAGGGCAGTGACGGACAGGGGACAGACTCTATAGAGCTTCCCAGGGTGGAGGAACATGTCACAACGGGGCTGGAACTCTGATGACTGAGTGTCATTCTCTTTGCTACTCTGCACACACCCTCCAAGAGTGGCAGTGGGAGAAGAGCTGTGTCCCCTGCCCTGGGCTGTCCTGGGATTGCCCCATACCCAGCTGCTCCCTGAGCGTCTCCCTCCCTCAGTTCTCAGAGACAAGCAGCCAACAGATGTGGGTGGGCTCTTGGCACTGCCAAGTCCATTCTCCAAGAATGAGACCAAAGAACTATTAATTAACCACGGCTAGCAAGACATCTAAAGTGCCTCGTGGGGCTGGGGAAAGGCCGGGCCTGCAGCGAGGGGAGGGAGTGGAGGCAGGGAAAGCGAGGGTGGCTTCCCATGCTGCAGCCACCAGCTGTGTGCAAGACGCAGAGCTGGCCTGGGAGACCCAAGAAGTTCCAATCTCTTCTGGGAGAAGGCTTTTTTGTTGTTGTTGCTGGGGATGGAACCCAGGGCCTCGCACACGCTAGGCAAGTGCTCTGCCACTGAGCCGCACCCAGGGCCTTGCTGGCTGGTGATGTCTAGTGCATATTAAGTGCTAGGTCTCTCCTCTGCAGTGTATGTGTGGTTTCATTTCACCTCCCAGTCTTTCGAGATTTTTCTTGTAAGGACAGGAAGGCTCTGAGAGGTCAAGGAACTTCCCCACCTTCTTTAGTTCCTCTCAGGTGCCTGGTAGGTGACTGGCAGAGGGGAAGCCCTGGTTAAGGACAGCTGGCACCTGGTTGTCCAGCTGTTTGAGATGCTATAGGAATGGCGCTGTCAGCTTCAACCAGCAGAGGGCGCCAAATGGCATCCTTGCCAGAAGAGGGCTGGGCCTGGAGGACCACAGACCCCTACCTCCCTGGTCACTTTCCTCACTGTGCGTCTTTCTAAAGGCTCCATCTAATTCTTTCTGGCCTGGGCCTCAGCTTGCTGGCTCTGATAGCAGAGGGAACTGACATTTATCAGGTGTCTAGCATATGCTAGACTCCCTTGTGGGGCTCACATACCATCCTGGTACTGGTGAGGCAGGTGACCAGGAAACCCGTTCTACAGGCCTTATAACTGATCTCTAGGCAGACAGTGGCTCTCCCAAGGTCACTCTGCAATGAAGTAGCAATGTCAGGACCTGGCAGCACATGGCTCTCAGAGCCCAGGAGCAGAGGAGAGGCTGACCTGGTAGCTTTGTCTCTTTGGGCAGCCTGGACTGCCTCCCCTGCTACCTGGAGCTGCCTGTTTCTGGTTTCCTGAGTGGAGCTGGCCCTGAGGAGCACAGAAAGGCACAGGAGGGGGTCTTCTCTGCCCCTGCTTCTCCAGGCTCCATCCTGGCCACTGCTGACAGATAAGCGTGTTTGTGGCAGATAGCCCCCAGCTCCCTCTCTCACTGAAGCAGTGAGATGTTGCTTCTGGAAGCCAGGCCAGCTGCTATCACCCTCCTTCTCCTACTGCCACAACCAGGAAGCCCATTAGCAGCTCCCTGCAGCTCTCTGCCTGCTCCTAGAACACAGCGTTGAAAGCTCCTAGAAGCTATGCTCCCAGCCTCTCTGCATTCACTCCTCTCATCTCCTGGACATCTAGAAAGAGCAGAAGTCCAGAGACCCAGGATGGAGCTGACCACCCTCTCCCTGGATGTCATGTCTTCTCAGCTCCAACTGGGGAGAATCGGCCATTGCTGTGTTTAGGAGATGCTTAGAAAACAATAACAGAAAAGACAATGAGGCCACAATGTGAAATGCAAGAGAAGTGACACCTATCTGCAAAACAGTCTGGTTATGTAGGCTCTGCTCCTTACCTGTCCTGAGCAACCTGGTCCTTGCAAGGGTATCACAGTGAAATCTCAAGGAAAAGCTCCTTTAGGGTACCCCAGGGAATTCTGGGTGTTAATTAAGCAACCACTCTTCCATCTATCCATTTACCTATCCACCCATCATCCATCCATCCACCTACACATCCATCCATCCTTCCAAGTTTTCATTCTATTCATCCTTCTATCCATCCATCATTCTATCATCCATTCAAGAATTCATTCTACACGGCCATCTATCATTCTCTCATATACTCCATTCACCCACCCATCCACACACCTACCCATTAACCTACTAATACGCTCCCCCACCCCTTCTTTCACCTGCTCTACCCATCGAATTCTTTATTGCACACCTATTTTGTGTTACTCACGATGCAAGGCAATGTTGGGAACATGACGGTGAGTAATAAAGGTAGTGTGTGTGCACTGAACACTTTACTGCCTGTCACTCTATTAAGCATTTTGCCTGCACTGCCTTACCTAATCTCCACTCGACCCAGAAAAATATTACTTGATCCGTCACTCAGCAAGTGCTTGCTAAGCAATAGGCTGGGGGTTGTTCCAAGCCCTGACAGTGTGAACAAGGCCCATGAAGGTCCTGCCCACATGCAACTTAAATCCCAGCAGGGGACCCAGCCATATGGAGTACACACCGTATCTGCAGGTGGGAGAAGAGTGAGGGGCTGGCAAACAGAGCCAGGAAGGAGGTGTGGGCGGGCAGAAGGAGAGGCTGTGTTAGTTGGTGCCCCAGGAAGAACCTTCTGGGTAGAAGATTCCTGCAGCAGCCTGAGCAGAGGAGGAATGGAAGGTGCCTAGATGAGATGGTTTCAGACAGAAAGGAAAGCCGGTGCGAACTCACAGGCATGGGTCTGAGCTTGGCGTACACAGATAAGAGGAAGCAGGGCCTGGGGGTCACAGCTGATGGAGCAAGTGGGGAGATCTGCAGAACAGCACCTTGGGGGCCATGGTAGGGAGCTGAGATCTAGCTTTAGATGAAGGCAGTCAGGTAGGTTGGGGCTCCTTTCTCTCTTCACGTATTTTTAAACTGTGATAAAAGTAGCTATAGCGAAACGCACTGTTCTTAAGTGTGCAATCAGATGAATTTTAATAAATGTGAACAAGTGTGGCCATCATCCCAGGCAAATGCTGGAGCATTCCCCTAACCAGAGGGTCTCTATGGTCCCAATTCGCACTTTCCATAGGTAAGTACGACACCATTTCTGGAGAGATTTGCTTTCTTGTTCTGGAGTTTCATCCAAATGGATTCAGGCAGTGTGTGCTCTCTGTTATTCGTTGCCTTCTTTTGCTCAACGTGGTGCTGTCTAGCTCTGTCCATGTTGGTGTACCTGTCAGAAGTTCATTCATTTCAAATCATGATATATAAATATGCCATAAATTTGTTTATACGGTTTCCCAACTATGGACTTTTGAATTAGTTATGGTTTTGTTTTTTATTGGCGATGTCATGAATAAGTCTGTGGTCATTCTCATCCAAATCTTTCCAGACATATTCTTCTTTTATTTTGAGACAAGGTCTTGCTATGTAGCCCAGGCTGGTTTTGAACTCATGATCCTCCTGCCTCAGCCTCCTAAGTGCTGGGATTACAGGCATGCATGCATTATTATACCTGGCTTTATTTTTCATTTCTTTTGGATAAATACTTAGGAGTGGAATTGCTGGGTCATAGAGTAGAGGTATTTTTGTCTTTGTTAAGAAACTGCCAGTTTTCTTAAGTAGCAGTACTTAAGTTTTTAACTTTAAGCACTTAAGTTTTATATTCCTACCAGCAAGGCAAAAGGGTTCTGATTGTTCTGAATTCTTGTAACACTTGTTATTGTCAGGTCTTAAAATTTTATCCAGTTGAGAAATGCTGCCTCAGTGTAGTTTAAATCTTCATTTCTCCGGTGACTCATATGTTTACTTTTAAAAAATATGTTTACTGGCCATTTGTAAATCTTCATTATAAAAGCAGGTTGTCTCTCACTACTGATATTTAGTAGGTCCTTATATATTTGGGTACAAATGCTGTCAGATACATGGATTGAGACAATTGCCTCTCATTCTGCAGTCTGCCTTTCATTTCCCTAAAGATGTCCTCTTATGAGCAGAAGCTTTGAACTTTGATTCAATCTACTCGACCAATTTTCAAATTCTCATGTAGACTTTTCTGTGACTGCTTTAAGAAACCTTTGCTACCCCAGCATCATAAAGATAAGTCCATCACTCATTTCAAATTAACTGGTGTGCATGTGCAAGGTAGGGGTCCAGCTCCAATTCTGCCTTGTGAATGTTCAATTGTTAAAGAGACTCCTCTTGGCTCACGGAATAGCCTCAGGTCTTTGTTGAAATTCAATCGTCTCTTGCCTTTGGGTCTATTTCAGGGCTCGGCTCTGTTCCGTCAATCTATTTGTCCACATCAGAGGGCTGGGGCCGTGTGCACGGACTCATGAGCTGATCTATGTTGTGAGTAGATCAGTCCTGGTGGAGAACAGGACAGGGGAAGTCGAAGCAGAAGAGCAGTTGGGAGGTGACTGTCACTGTCCAGGTGGACTGATGGTACTTGGATGGTGGTGGCTGGGGGACCACAAGAAGAGGCAGGTCAGGGATGTATTCTGAGGCCACATGGTAGGGCTGGAGGATGTCTTGGATGCATAGCATGTAAGATTAGAATGGGAGAAGTTGGTGGCCTTCTGCCGATGGCTTGACCAATAGGAAGAGCATATTCCCATCCATGGAGATGGGTTTGAGGGCCACCAGGCCTCAATGGGCCAGCTCCCAAGACAGTTGCAAATCCAGTGGAGGGGGAGGGGAATCAGAAGAGGTACATTCAGTTGGAAGGATTGGGGGCAGGCTTCCTGGAGGGGGTGGCATTCGGTTTCAGAGAGCATCCCTGTCACAGAAGTGGCAGCAGCAAAGGCCCATGGCAGGGAGACAAGCCCCGGCCCCTGATGGCCTGATTTTCAAAGTCCTTGCTAGATGCTGTACCTTGAGGTCACCTCATCTGTCCCATAGCCTAACCTAGAGTGCAGGGCACCTGCTGTGCCAGGTGCATTACACACTTATTACATGCCCACCACCTTCCGGCTCACAGCACTCTCCACCAGGCACACGGATGATTTGGTGTGTCCTCACACAGCCCCACCAATGGGCCGTGCAGCTTAGTGGTTAGGAAGGTAGACTTTTGAGGCAGACAGCTCTGCTAGCCTTCTGAAGTCCAGGTCCCTCATCTCCACAATGGGAATAATACTGACTCTCAGCCAACCCTCAGGGGCACTGCAGGGTTTCAGGGAGACTGAGGCCAAGTGTTTTGCACATTGCTGGGCTCTGAGCATGTGCTTGGAGCATTTGTGTCATCACACCATTCTCCCCATTCTGCAGGTCAGAAAACTGAGGCTTGAACATAAGGGGCCCAGAATGTCACTAATTGACAGCAATTGAGGTAAAATAGAAAGCCAGCCCTAGGGTCTCATTATTTACCACCCAACTAGGTTCTTTCACTTTGGTGGCCCTGTGTGTCCCCCACATCCCCACTTCCCTCGGGTGCACAGACACGACTGCCTAGGCCCACTGCCTTTCCCTGGCTCTGATGATGGGTGTTGGAGTCCACAGAGCAGTTCCAGGTGAGGAGACCTGGACGCAGAGACAGGCAGGCCAGCGCTTCCCTGCCACTTGTTCTGGTGGGAAAGCGTCATGAAAAATTGCCTTTCACTGGTGGCTTTGAAGTGTCTGTCTGCTCGTTGTCTTTCTCTCTCTTGGTGGAGGTGACGGAGCCATCCCGCAGGAAGCCACAGGGAGGCAGGAGGTGGCTTTCTTGGTCAAAGCAGTCAGATAAAGTGCAGAGGCTTCTGGACTTTCTGCCTGGGCAGAAAGGAACTCTGGGAGGGGTGGAGAGTCCAGAGAGGGCTGATGAGCTGGCCAGGTGGGAGAGCTGAGAGGGGTCCAGGCAGACCCAGCACCAAGCACAGGGCCTGGCCTTAACAGTGTGTTCATGACACCTCTGTGAAACGAGATGAGGACAGACATGGTACCCATGGGTAGTGCCTCTGATAGGTAGAGGCTAGGAGGAGGCATAAAGAGAGGTTAAGGCAGATACTACCTGTCTTTGTATTCTCCCTGCGCACCTTGGACAACTTAAGTAACCTCTCTGGGCCTCAGTTTCCTCATCTGTGGTGTGGGATGATGTCACTGCTCGTCCCACTGGCAGGCATGAGCATCCAATGAGTTCATATAAGAAAAGCAACAGCACTGTATACAGAAGGTATTTGATAAATGTTAGCTTTGATGCCTTCTGTGTGGGCAGGTGGCTGGTGGGAATCAAAGACCCATTTTAAAGGGTCTTCAGGCAACCAGCCTCACAGTCAGCCAGGGACAACGGGCCCAGGGGCTGGTGAGTTTAGTGGCTGGCACTGTGGGAACTGGAGAAGGCACCAACAGACTGGGGTTGAAATTTCAGCTCTGCTACAAACAAGTTAGTGACTCAGAGACAGGAGCTCCACCACTTGTCTGTAAAATGGGGCTGCGTGGAAATTGTCTGTGTGTGGGAATTGAAGATGAGCCTTGCACACACTCCTGGTACACAAGTACCATGTCTGTAAGAAATCCTTCTCCATGGTACCTGGTGTGGAGTTGGGTTTTCTGGTGATCTAGCTAAAAACAGAGAAGTCTTCAGGACCCCCTGACACAGGCTACAGTCCCAGCCCTTGTTAGTCACTGCTCTCTGTCCTTCCATGGTGGCCTGGGCTACAGGCTGTGGGTGGCTCCATACAGCCCCTGGGCTCTTCCGAACGCTTTGAGGACAATCGGTGCATCTGGGGCTCAGAGAGCTGCTGCGTACTTCAGGCCAGGGTTCAAAAGAACACAGGGCAAAGGGACCCATCCAGACCACTGGCTCTCCCCCACCCTTGCACACCGGTCAATGCAAACAGCCCCCTCTGAGTCACACACATTCCTGCCGGAGACAGTTCCACCCTGCTCCAACACAGTTGGGAGGAGTGTAAGGGGCAGAAGTCAGCTCTTGGCACACTGCCTTGGGGACATCCCAGAGATTGGGCTCTGGGGCTGAGCTGGCCCTGGGCATCAGTTTCCCACCTCCCACAGACCCAAAGAGGATGGGATGTACATTGGACTTGAAGGGCAGGCCGAGTGATATCCTCCCATGACCTCTGTATCCTTGACCTCAGCCCCATGAAACTTCCCATACTCTCGGTATTCCTGACCCTCCTCCAGCAAGCCTGAAACCTTGCCTGGCACTGTCCCTCACAACTGGCCCTGGATTCCACCCAGAAAAACACCTGACAGTGATTTTGATGCTCTCTGTGTTCCTCTCCTCCACCCAACACACTTCCTCTGACCCTCACCAGCAAACCCTGTAACTTCCGTTGTTCCTGACCTCCAGGCACCTCCCATTTTCTCCCATCCAATCAGCAAGCGTCCTGAAGAACCCCAACTCTGCTCTCTGGGCCGGCCTACTTCCCAATCACTCCATTCCTCCCCATCTCCCTGGCTTCCAGCAGCCCAGGGACACTGTTCCCAGGGCCCCTGGCCAGCTCTGCAGAGGGCTTACCCAGCGTGACCTCTGCCTGCATGGGCATTGACAGTGCTGGGTGCTTGACCTCGCAGCTGAAGAGGGCCTCGTTGTCGATCTGCGGGTTGAGGGTCCAGGTGAGCAGGGCGCGCACCTCCACGGTGCCATCACTGCCCGGAGTGCGGCTGTGGCGGAGGAAGTAGATGGGCTCATTGCTGTGGACCCAGCGTGGGAACTCCCGGCTCACAACTGTCTCTGGGATGTTCTCTGTGGTGGGCTGGAGGAGGATGCTGGGGTCTGGGGTGAGACTGCGGGAGGGGCGCTCTGTATAGGGATGCCCAGCCCGGTACTCAGTGTCCAGGAGAGACAGTGATTTCTGCATCTTGGTGTCGTCCAGATCACGGTGCAGGAGGCTGCGGAAGGGCCTGCTGTCCTGGAGGGGGCCAGAGCTCACAGCTGGCGATTCTGACAGGGGCACCACATCAATTGGTTCCCCATCCCGTTTGAAATACACCTGAAATTGCAACGAGGGTACTGGAAAAGATTGTGTGTGAATGACCTTGACCTCTAATGGGCTCTCCATCTCCCCCGCCCCCACATTCCTTTCCCTCAAGCACCCAAGAAACAGCTTGAGCCAGAACAGTAGAGGCCAGAGTCCTGTCCGAGGCTCCACCCAACTCCATCATCCACCAACTGGGGACGCTTTTAAACGCCTCAACTGCCTCACTTGTAAAGAGAAATAAAAATACTTCGTGAGGCTGTTGGATGTTTAAATGAAGCTACCTGGGGGGACAGGTGCTTTGGACACAGCAGTAACAGCCATGGAGCTCCAGGGGGTGGTTGGAGCACACCTGGGGAGGGGCATGTGGATTAGAGGGAAATAGAGTAAATAAGATGTGGGAGGAGGAAAGGGTGTGTGTGTGTGTGTGTGTGTGTGTGTGTGCGTGCGAGAGAGAGAGAGAGAGAGAGAGAGAGAGAGAGAGAGAGAGAGAGAGAGAGAGAGGGAGGGAGGGAGGGAGGGAGGGAGGGAGGGAGGGAGGGAGATTTGTAGATGGTAGGCAGAAAACAGGTGTGCGTGTGGGAGGTAGCTAGGTGCGGGGATGAAGCGAGAGAAAGCCTCTTCTCCCTTTCTCTGCTGATGGGGAATTCCAGTTTTGAGAGGCGGCATTTAATTTAATTTGTTGTCTTTTTATTTTGGTACACGTGCCCAGAGGCCTGTGGGGATTGGGTGTATTTTTTAATAAATCAGATAAATAAATCGATAGGAGACAGGGAAAGAGAAGAGCAGGAAGCAGCACTCAGGGACGCAGGTGGGAAGGGAGAAGATGTGGGGGGTGGGCAGGTGGGAGGATGGGGGAGGGGGCTGTGGGTTGAGGGAGGTGGGAGAAGGTGGGGTAAATGAAATGTGGGGTGTAGAAAATCTGTCAGAGTTTGTAATGCTGAAGAATCTCTTATACACATCATAGCCTGCTTTGGGTTTTTTTTTTCCTTTCTTTGCTCTTCCCTGTTTTTTTTTTTTTTTTTGTGAAAAGTGCTTCAAAAGCAGGTTTGTAATTTATATCAAAGAATTTCTTTCAAGTTCTGATGTCCCAGACAAACGCAGATGCCTGGAATGTGGGGAGATGGGGATCTTTCATATATATATATATATATGAAAAGAGAGAGAAAGAGAGAGAGAGCTGAGTATGTCTTAAATGGTAGCCAGGTGAGGAGGATCCCTCATGGCCCCAGGCTGTGAACCCCCTTCCCCATCTTTGTGCCTTCCTTTCCTGGAGGAAGGATCAGCATTCCTGAATTCAGGGAGACTGGGGCCTCCTTGGGGTTCCAAAGGAGAGAATTGGGGGCCGTGTTTTGTTTCAGTATTTGGTGACTATGAAGCTACTTTCTATCGTGTTTCCTTGGGACTGCAGGTGCCCCCGTACTAACCCCTGTGTGTCTGAATCCCACTCGTTCTCCCCCAGTCCTTGTACACCTCACCCCTGCCCACTCTCCTCTCCCACCCACCAGGACTCTACACAGCCATCTGCCTCCAGGCTCCTGGCAGTTGGGCCTGTCTGGTCCCGGGCCCTGGGTGGTGCTGCCTATGTCCCTAGCCACACCACTGATGGCAGCACCTGTGGGACAGTCACACCTGTGTGACTCTAGCTCTCCGTATTCTGCTCCGGCCCCACCCCTTGTCTAATCAAGAAATGTGTCAAACTCACACGGCGGGGAGCCAGAGGATTCAGATGTCAGGACTGAGAGGGTCCCTGGCAGGAGAGAGATCAAAGGATACAGGGGTCCTTAGGCACCTGAGAGGGTGGCTTGTCCTCCCCTCGCTTTAAATGTTGTACGCCTGGGGCTTCCAGTTGGACCCAAAGTGCCCTGCTGTTTCTAAAGATGCTGAGAAAACTTGACATTGCCTAGTTCCCCCACTGCCTCCCAGAGACTGAAAAGCAGAGGCAGGGAGTGGACTCTGTTCGGGATCAGTCGGGCAGGACTAGAACTCTCCCACTAGGTGTGCAGGTGTGCTCTAGGTGCCTTCTTGCCTCCTACCAGCCTTTCAAGTGGCCACGAGAATGCCATGAGCTAGACTGAGCACTTTCCAAAGAAGGCAGGTGGAGTCTAATGAGAGGCTGGCCACACTGTAGAAGCTGGATCCCCTCTTTCCTCCTTTCCTTCTTCTGCCCTTCTTTCCTCTCTCCTCGCATCTTTCTCTCCCCTCCCCTCCCCCCGTTCATCTTTTCTCTCTCTCCCCTGGAGGGCTACCTGTATACCCTGTGGGGTTCCAGGAAGAGCAGTGAGCTTACAGTTTGAGGTCCCAGATCTGTGGAAAACATCATGGTGACTGTGCACCAGTCCCTTCCCCTCTCTGGGACCTGTTCCTTTGTCCCCATCCTGCACAGAAACTGGAGGTGTTGGATGCTGGTCTCCCCCAAAAGCTCCCCCTGTTGTGAGGCTCTAGAACTCCAGGTCCAGGATCAGTGGGGGTCTCAGAATGAGGAGACTGGGCACAAGACAGGCAACGATGCTTGGATGGGTCCATTGAGAGACCAGGGTGAGACCCAGGCAGCATCAAGCTCAAGGTTGGCAGACCACCCTCTCAGCATGGAGGTGACACCTGCAATGGGACAAGCCAGGAGGTAAGGAGGTCTGGCCGGTGAGAAGGGCTGGGAGCTCAGGGACACTTACCATGGGTGCTGGCTTCCCTCCAGACACGATGCAGATGAGTGTGAAGTTCTGGGTTTGGTAGCGGCTGAAGGGGGCAGGTGAGTCAGCAGCCACCACTTCGATGGAGGTGGGCGGAGCTGCTCCAAAGGGAAGCACAGGAAGACAGAGACTCAGCTGGAGGACCCAGAAAGGTTCACTGCCCCGCCAGGTCCCAGGCAGGTGCTGGGGGTGGGGAGGGTCCATGTTGCACAACTCCAGGGGATATCATTTGTATTGAGTGCAGGTATCACAGTGTGGAAGGGGACCCTGCCCAAGCTGAGGCGCTCTGGGAAGTCACTGCTGGAAGCCACACTTATGCTGTGATCCTAGGAAGCAGCAGTGGGCAGAAGACAGCTGCCAGCATGTGCAAATGCCCTGGGTGAGCTAGTGGGGTTGGGGGAGGAAGAGCAAGGAGGTTGAGCAGGACAGATGGGCAGGGTGTACACAGAGAATGTGATGGGGGAGAAGGCTCACAGAGTGCGCTGGAGCCGATTGTGACATTTTCAGAAATTTTGTGAGCTAGCTGTTAAACTATTGCCTACTTGAAACAGGTCACAGTGGGTGTCTTTACACCACAAAAATCGGCAACTGCTCCAAATCAGGGCATTTCCCACCCTCTATCCTCTGCCACAACCCCCAGAGAGCTAGTTGACCAGCTCACCACTGGCTATGAGTTTTTCTTCTTTCTCCAGAGAGCAGTGGGGAGCCAGTGAAAGTTTTAAGCTGGAGCAGATATGATATGAGTTCATTTTGAAGAGACTGAAAACACAGTGTGAATTACAGCTGGAAAGGATGGTGGCTTAGACTCGGTGGGACAGGATCGAGCGAAAAGCAGGTGACTTTGAGAGCTACCTGGAGCCGGGAGTGTCTCCCCCTTTCTTTCCTGAACTTGGCTTATTTGTGGCTGCTGCCCTCCCACCAGTTCTCATCCTTTCCCTTCTCTCTGGCTGCCAAAGGCCTTGCGCCCACCTGGACACAGGGTCAATAAAACCCCAAGTCTTTGAGCACATGACCCAAACTGTGTGCCTCGGTTCTCCAGTGTGTGAAATCACAGATAGGGCTGCAGGACGGAACGTGGGCTGATGGGCCTGAAGGGCTCGGCACATAGTAGGACTTCACTGTTCTGATTTCTACTGCGATTTCCCAGACCACCTCAAGATCAGCAGGAAGCTGCTTCCGAGAACTTTGCAGGTGAAAGCGGTCAGTTCTTGCTTCCCTGGCCTTAGGCTGTTTGCAGCAGGGAAGAAGAGGAAAACAAAAAGATGTGGGCCTTGCCTTCCTGCGGGGGCTTTTCACCCCAGTTAGGTTTAATTAAACTCGGTGAGCATTGCCTGACACCTACTAGGTGCTGGGCGTGGTGCCAGAAGCTGGCTGCTGGGTGCCCAGTGATGGAGCAGATAAGCGTAGAGAGGCCCACGGGCTGCAGGTGGGCGACAGACGCATGGGCTGCTCTATTTTAAGACCTAGTGGAATGAAGCCAGGTAGGAGCCATTCATTCGTTCATTCGTTCAGCACATGCTGCTTGCAAGAGAGGCAAAATGAACAGGAGGAAGCGCCGAACAACACCTGGAGAGTTGTAATTAAGTATAAGCTCGCACGAAGCAGATGGTAAGGGGGTAGGAACTCCAAGAAGGGAAAAAGGCAACAACACACTTCGATTACCCAGAAGTTGCAGACTCTGCAATCTAACTTTTCCAGAACTCGATGGAAAACTGGGGTCCTATGGTCAGAATCAACAAGGACTAGCATTAATGAGCAGGAGCCATGCTGTGCTCTGCACAGTCTTAATTCTATTCATCCTCGTCCTTGGGCTGTGAGGTGGGTACATGAGGATACCCATTTTACAGATGGGTAAACTCAAGAGGTGAAGCGACTTGGCCTGGCTAGGTAGAGCTAGGATTTAAGGCCAGGCAGCCTGGATTCCAACAGGGAGCCATGCCAACTCAACCTTCAGAAGGAAAGGGGAGCTGGTATCTGTTGATATGGTCCTAACTGCAGATTTTAGACACCTGAACCACTTTACCTACCTGGCACATCTCAGTTTCCATGGGTGCCCCGTGATCCAATTCCCTCAGGATCTGCAAGTGGTGCCTCTAGCTGGTTCCATTTCCCTCCAAGGTTAGGGACCATGGCAGTTAGAACTCAATCTAAAACCTAGCCTCAATCTAAAACTTACCCTGGAGGGTAAGTTTGCCCTCCAGGAATCCTGGAGGCTCAGAACAAGACAAGTGGCACCTACCAGATCACTCATTCATTCTTTCTCATGGAGCAAACAGAGATCAGACACCTAGAACCTTCCTTAGAGAATTGCTTAGAGGGATACATGTGATATTTATAAGGAACCTGCATTGCAGGTTAGCAATGTTAATTAATATTACTCATATCACTTTATTTTTGCAGTGCTGGGGATGGAACCCGAGCCTCATGCGTGCTAGGCAAGTGGTTTACCACTGACCTACAGACCAGTCTTGTACCACTATTAATAAGGTAGGTAGTTTAGGACAGTGGTTAAGAGTGGTGGCCTCTGAGTTAGGTGGCTCATTTCTGTAATCCTAGCTACTGGGAAGGCAGAGATCAGGAAGATCTCGGTTTGAGGCCAGACCAGGCAAGTAGTTTGAGAGAACCTATCTTGAAAAAAACCCATCACAAAAAAGGGCTGGTAGAGTGGCTCAAGTGGTAGAGCACCTGCCTAGGCAAGCCTGAGGCCCTGAGTTCAAACCCCAGTACCGCCAGAAAAAAACAGCATGGGCTTTGGATTAGACAAGCCAATGTTCAAAGACTCACTGTTCCAGTTGCCAGCTGTGTGACCTCGGGCAAGTCACTTAACCTCTCTAAGGCTCTGTTTCCTTACCTTTGAGATGGAATTAAAGGTACTGCAAAATGTTCTGGAAGTTCTCCCAATACAAAGTTGGCTGGTTGTTGTAATTTGGTAGCAAACTTTATTTGAAGCTGCTTGCCAAGGTTGGAGAACCAATCCTGGTCTGTGCTCTGGGCGTTCAGTTTAGTGAGGAGACCAGAAAGGGCCCAGCCGTGCACTGTCTACCACGGTAGGCACGTGCCCCCATTGCATTGCGAGCACTTCAAGTGTCGCTTGTTCAAGTTCACGTGCATTGGAAGTGGAAAGTGCACACCACATTTCAAAACTCAAATTTAAAAAAGATGCTGTTAGTATTTTTGTACTGATTATATGTTGACATGATACTTTTCAGATATACTTGGCTTAATAAATATGTTCTTGAAATTAACTTTGCTTTTCAATTTTACCTTTCTTAATATGCTTATTAGAAAACCTACAGCTTTCATCACATTTCTATCAGGCAGTTCTGGCCTAAATTTCATTTCCATTTTACAGAGAGGCAAACTAAGGTCAGAGAGAGGCAAAGATCTGCCTCCAGTCATATTCCGAGTCAATGGCAGAGTCTCAAGTGGCATCCAGCCTTCCATATCTTGGCCAGGTCCTATCCACAGTGTGGCACTCCTCCCTCCCCTCCACAACACACGTGCACACACATGCATGCACATTCATGCACACAAACACAGATCTGGAGATCTGCACCCAAGTCACACACAACACCCACACAGACCCTGAGTGGGAGCTGTGTTCCTGTCTCCTGTTGCATTTCTGAGCAGGTGTGAGCAATATGTACAGTTATTCAAGCTCGTAAGACAGTAACAGGTCCCGGTTGTATGGACAAAGGTGTGGCAGGGCTGCTAAAACCAGCACCAACGGCCCGGGCTTTCCACGCTCTGCCCATCAGCATACTCCCAGATACTGTGTCCTGGGAAAATGTCACTCTGCATCTCACCTCCTGTCACTCGGTGGAGGGCCCTGAGTACAGGCAGTCAAGAAGCTGTCTGCACCTGGGAGATCCTGGCTGCTGGAGGATGCTCCATCCCACACATGACTATCATGCTCTCATTGTCCTCGTCTCTGCTCTTTCCACACAGCTACTGCTTCCTGGGACCATGGTCCCCTGCCTTTCCTCACCAGCACATACCCATCTCCACATCCTCTGCACCAGCATCTCCTTCTCCACCCCACCACACCTCCATCTTCACCCCCATCATTTCCATCACCTTCTTCATCCACACCTTCATCCCCTCTCGGTTTCCTTTCCTGTCTCCATCTCATCCCAACTCCAATGCCATCCCCACTCCCACTCTGTCCCACCTCCATTCCTAACACTACCTCTATTTCCTCTCCTGTTCTGACCTCTACCCCATCTCTGTCTCTCTCCCCAGTTCCATACTTCTGTCTTCTTCTCATCCCTAACTCCAATCCCATCCCTTTTCTCATTACTGCCATCCCCTTCCCTGTTACAATCTCTGACCAAGGTGAAAACAAGCACCCTTCTGTGCTCAATACCTGGGATACTCTGCTGAGCCCAGGAACAGTGTCCCTCCCAAGACAATCAACCAGCCATGGACACAGACATAAAGTCTATGGGACTCCCTGGGCAAGAATGATACTAAGTGCAAAGACGAGCTCCAGAGTGGGCAGCGCCCAGCAAAGCCACCTGGCTGTGCTCAGCTGGGTACAGAGCAGATCCAGGTGGCCTATAAGGGCGAAGAGTCTTCAGTAGAGACCCCCAGCTCATGCTCTGCTCTGGCCACTGCACAGAGCTCAATGCCCATGTGTGCCAAGCTCTCAGCATTGGCGCCTCCTTCCGTGACTTTTGAGGGTAGCCTTCAGAGGCACCTGTGCAATGCTCTTAGTGGGAGCAAATACCCTTGGGCACCCTTCATATGAAGTGACTCTCTGAGACACAAGCAGGCATTTTCTGCTTGGGGAAGGGACACATGGGTCGTTGTCATCATCACCATCTCAAAAGTAGGAAGAACCTACATCACCAGACCTGGGCAGAGGGAAGGGCTACCCCTATCCCATAAGCCTATCACCATAGTTAAGCCAAAGCCACCATTCCCCAATTCCCCTCAATCCCTGCCCCTCATTCCCAGCCAAGCCAGCCGGCTTTCCAGCTTACTTTTCACTTTGCCTTAAGAGAAGAGAATTGCTGCTAGAAGTTTCCATGACTAATTCTGCCCTGCCCCACACCACACGGCACGTCACAGCTAACCCCTATCACCCCGTTCCACGGCCACCAGGAGTTGAAGTTATTTTAGACTTGGCACTTATCATCCACACAGTACCATAACAGGCAGGTGATCGGTTTCATGAAATTAACCCTGAAATAGTGCCTGTCTGTGTCTTGCAAGCAGAACTTCGTTTTGTTCATCGTAACTCATTCTGGAGATAATGTGCCGCTCTTCTTTGCTCTGTAAATCATCCTGTGATCCTTTGCGACTTGGGAACCCAAGCTGATCTGAAAGAAATGCCTGCATTGTGGACAGGGAAGTCAGTGTCTTACTGTTTCCGGGGATTAGCAGTCCTCCACACCAAGATGTTGACTCCGTTGCAGCTCCCCCCCATCCCACCCCACTGTACCAGGCTAACAGAGGCCAACCAAGGCTCCAGCCCAGGAAATCCTGTGGAACTTGGGGCCACTCAGTCAACCCCTCTGGGCACCAGTGTTTCTGTCTCTAAAATGGATTCAATAAGACCCACCTTGCCAACCCTTCAGCTCCCAGGGCTTTTGAGAGGAAAAAGCAAATGAGAAAATGGACAAAAGCCCTCCATGAGGACGTACGATGCTGAACAAGCATTATTTATCGCACCTCTCCAACTGCCCACACCCTTCCCTGGAGGAGGGGAGATGGGTTGGGGGGTGTTTCTGTCCTCCCAGCAGTGTATGTTCCTTGGGTACCACGGTGCGAACGTGCTGAACACACTTCTGTTCTGAGCATCACTTATCTCAGGGAGGTCATCAATTAGGTTTGGGAGAGGGGAAGGGAGCAGGAGAGACAAGTTCAAAATAAATAATATTTGCAAAAAATCCATTCTTCCTTTCAGCGTGCCTGCTCTATTGACTGCCTTCCTTTTCAATCAGCGCCTAGTCATTATGCTGTATTTCAAAAACAGAAAACTATCCTCTTAATCTAAGTGTACGTGAATATAAATGTCCTTCCAGGTTCCCTATTTTAATTCCTCTCCTTTTTGTCCCATGTCTCCATTTCTTCTCTCTTTCTCTCTCCCTCTTAAGATTGGGCTCAAGAGAGTGGCTGGCTCTTCCACTGAGCCTCTGCTGCAGCTGCCCACGTCCCCTTCTCACCCTGCCCCCTCCTCTCTACCCAAACCATTACTGGCTCTCAGCCGCTTCACTCCACCTCAGCCTTTAGGGTTGGCCTCAGGTGTTGCCTCCTCCAGGCAGCCTTCCTGCATTTTGCTGGGTTAAGCCCTCTGGGTATTAAATACCTCTGGGTATTTGGAGCATTCTATGCTTGTTGTATTCCTCACTGCTTGTCATTCTGTTTCAGGTTCACGTCTGTCTCTCCACTAGATTGAGTGCTCCCTGGGGGCCGGAACTTTGTCATTCTTCAAAGCAGCCACGAGGTAGCTGGAGCTCTACTACTGTTTGTGTCCTTTATTGTTTGAGCCCAGAGGAACAGAAAGCCTGTCTGTGAAAGGGTTCCCACGAGATCCTGCAGTGCTGTGGCCCTGTCCCCGTCCCCGTCCCCCCCCCCCCACCCCGTCCAGCTTCCATGCCACGCTCCCTTCCCCTTCCATCCCCATGCTCCAAACTCGCTGAGGCTTCTTTCCTTTCCCCCTTTTCTTTGGATCCATGAACACTCTGAGCTCACTCTAAGCCCAGGAGCTTTGCATCTGCTGCTTCCTCTGCCTAAAGTCCTCCCCTCACCATTTTTGCATGGCTGGGCCCTGCTCATCTAAATCTCAAATGTCACCTCCCAGTTTAAGCTAAGTTTGCCTTTTTTTATTCTGTCACAGAACTTTGTGTACTTCCTTCACCGGCTGCCTCACAATGTATAATTGTTTCACATACTTGTGTGCATGCTTGATCTCTATACCCCTCCCCTGGAAGTGAGCACTTGAACTCTTCTTCTCCTCCTCCTCTTCCTCCTCTTCCCCTCCCCGCCTTGTCTCTGTCTGTCTGTCTGTCTCTCTTTGAGGTACTAGGGATTGAAACAGGGCCTCCGGCTTGCCAGGCAGGTGCTCTACCACTTGAGTCACTCCCTTTTGTATTTTGTTTTTGAGATAGGGTCTCCACTAACTTTGCCTCAGTTAGTCTTGAACTCATGATCCTCCTGCTTCCACCTCCCGAGTAGTTGGGATTACAGGCATGAGCCACCACTCCTGGCTTCTTCCTATCTTGTCTCAACCCAAGGGCCTGGTACACAAGGATTTGCTCAAAAAATGTCTATCAAATGAGTTCATGAATGAGGTGGGAGGGACCCAGGCCTCTGCCCTCCAGGCTCTGTTCAGTGAGGAATGGCTGAAATCTCTGCCTGTCCCCCTTGCCCGCAGCCCTCCAGGCTCCTCTCTCCCAGCCTAGGCCAAGAAGGCAGATTCACCAATGGAAATAAAGAGGGGGTGGGGTGGGGAAGTGCAGCGCTCCATTTTATGCAAAAATTAAATATTGAACTGAGTAGTAACAGCAGCTGAGGGAGGAGAAATCCAGGAAAAGCCCCCAAATGGAGCCACCATTGGTAACAGAGAGATAAACGTGGCATCTCAGCCTATGTGGACGGCAGAAGGCCCTTTACTGTGGCACTGCTGAGCTCAGCTCCCCTCCAAACTTGAGCTTGGTCATGGGAGTCCCTGGGCTTTGGCAATGGCAAGGGTGGGGATCTCGGGTCCAGGTCATTGCCAGTGTGGACGCCCACTGCCCTGGGTCCTCCTCACGTTAAGATGGGGCTTTTCTAAATGGAACTGAGTCCCACAGGTGCCCAGTGTCTGTGGGCATCATCCACTCCTCCGGGAGCTGGCTGGCGGCACCCGCTCCCCTGCCGTGCCCCTCCCCTGCCAGCTGTTGTGCTTTTGTTGTGGCAGAAGATAAAATTAACAACCCCGACTGGAGGCTCTGGCTGAGTGCTCTGGGGGAGTGGTGTGAGGCTGGGTGGAGCGAGATCCCGCTCTGTTACTGCTGATGGAGAAACAACTGCCCCTGCACAGATCTTGATTCCCATTCTAGTTCTATTTTCTAGACTGTTCTTTTAATTCAGTGGTTCTCAAAGTGGTATTCACATCACTGGGCTGCTTTTTGGCAATGCAAATTCTTGAGCCCCATTCCAGACCCAGCTGACCAGGTTTTAACCAGCCCTCTAGGTGGTTCCAATGCAAGGTCAAGTGTGGGAACCACTGCCTTGACCTGTGTAAGTTCAGTTGGCTTATCCCTAAACTGGGGGTAATAAGAACCACTCGACAGTGTTAAGTGAACAGAGGAGGGCTTGGTGAATAGAAGGTGCTCAGCAAACAGTGATGGAGATGATGACTGACTGGGAAGAAAAGGTTCAAGGGAAGCAGAGAACGTCAGTCCAGCTTCTTCAAGCCTCAGCAGACAGAGCTTCCCTGGCTCTCTGCATTGATTGGTCCAAAAGACCCCAATTTCCAAAGCCCCAGACTGGTGTGTAACTTTCTAGCAAACCCTGATTGGATGCTTGTCAATGTTCCAAGTTTTCTGATTGGCCTCCTAAGCCACCAGTCCCTTGTGGACCCTCCCTAGCCTTCAGATTCTTCTGGTTGGAGGTAGCATGTGGGTGATCTCCACGTGTGAGCCTCAGCAATCCCATGCCATTGTAGTTTATGTGGCAATAGAGCCCATGCTTCTAGGCCCCACAATAGGTGCCTTTTCTGCAGAGAGAAATCTATGGGCTGTGACATGAATTCATTTTAAATAGCAGCAAGGCTGACCGACTTGGGGGATGTTTTCAATATACCCCAGAGGTATGTATTACACACTTGGGCAATTTCACTGGGTGCCATATGTGCAGCTGGATGAGAGAAGCCTCTGAAGCTGGTGGAAGCTGGGGAGGCTCTGACACGTGGGGAGGCACGTTGGAAGATCTGGCAGGTGGCTGGTGGAAGCTGGGGAGGCTCTGACACGTGGGGAGGCACGTTGGAAGATCTGGCAGGTGGCTGCAGG